ACCTTCCTTCCGAGGAGTGGCTGGTGGGTTTGAACCGCCAGCCGTCTGGTTAGCAGGCAAGTGTCTTAGCCACTATGCTACCAGAGCTCCTAAGGGGACAGGAGGGGAGGAGAATTTGTTATGGTCAGCAATGGTAATTGGGGTGTGGGAAAAAAAAAAGAAAAGAAAAGATTAACACATTTGATGTCCCAATATACAAGACAGATACTGTTATTCTGATTTTATAGATAGGGAAAACCGAGCCTCACAGAGGTTAAGTAACTTACCTGACTACATAGTCAATAAGTAATAGACTGCTTTACTAGCTGCAGAATAATCTAGGCTTCATTAACCACTGCTATGCTGTCTCACTAAGTTAAAATGACATAACTTACAAAAGAAAAAGGTAGAGGGAAAGGAGTAATAGGAAGCCATGTTGGTCCTTTCCTTTTCATATCCTATTCCAACTACTTGGAACAACCTCCACATCTTTTTTTTTTATCCTTACTTTATTCCATTAGATCAGTGTTCATCTGTCACTTACTTCTCCAGGGAGGCTTTCCTTGACCTCACCCACTACCCTACTCATAGTAATCTGTACTTTTTCTTAAGGTATCTGCGTACTTACATATTTATTTGTATGGTTGTTTAATGTCTATTTCATTAAACCATAAGATCTGTAACGGCAGGGACACTGTTCCCCAGGACCTAACGCAGTAGTTGTCAGATAATAGGCATTTAGTATGTGTTTCATGTCATTGAATGCTTATAAGAGATCAAGTGCTCACTTTAACTCCATGAGGTAGATATTTTCATTCACATTTTTCATCTCCTTTACATGTTTGAAGGAGCCTTGGTGGCATAGTGGTTAAAGCATTCAGTTCAAACCTACCAGCCACTCCACAGGAGAAAGATGAGGCAGTCAGCTTCTGTAAAGGTTTACAACCTCGGAAACCCTGTGGGTCAGTTCTGTTCTGTCCTGTAGGGTCATTTTGAGTTGAAATTGACTCATTGGCAATGGGTTTAGTTTTGTGTTACCTGTTTGGGCTTCTTCATAAGATACCATTTGAACAAAAGATTCCATGGCCAAAAAAGCTAGAAAGTCTGTGCATTATACCAGGCCACCTTCCTTTTCTGCTACTTGATTTCACAGTTTTATAAATTTTATTAAGGAATTCTTCCCTAACTTGGGCCTGAGACATTCAGGTTCTACCCTGGCTTGGCTTTACTTTCTTCTTCCCTTTCTTTTCTCCCAGGTGGACTGACTCAGGACCTGAAAGCTGCTTCTAACTGCTTTTTGATGGCATGTGAAAAGCCAGGAAAGAAGTCCGTGGAGGCGTGTCACAATGTTGGTCTCCTGGCACATGATGGGCAGGTCAATGAGGACGGCCAGCCTGACCTGAGGAAGGCCAGGGACTACTACACAAGGGCCTGTGATGGCAACTATGCTGCCAGCTGCTTCAACCTCAGTGCCATGTTCCTCCAGGGTGCCCCTGGTTTCCCCAAGGACATGAGCCTGGCATGCAAGTACTCAATGAGAGCCTGTGACCTGGGCCATGTTTGGGCCTGTGCCAATGCTAGCCGCATGTACAGGTTGGGGGATGGTATTGATAAGGATGAGACCAAGGCCGAGTTGCTAAAAAATCGGGCCCAGCAGTTGCATAAAGAACAGCAGAAAAGTGTCCATCCTTTAACATTTGGGTAGTGTGGCCCACCCTTGGAGGCAACAACTTGAAGCAGGGAATCTTTATTTCTGAAAATTGATGCAACCATTGGAAGTCAATCTTCTGGAGCAGGAAGGCTTGGGACTTGATGCTAGTAGCTCTGGTTACAAAGACCCATTGCCTCAGAGTGTTACCTTCTGGGATATAACCTGCAAGTTCATTTCAGTCAATATTCCTTTATCTGGGTATGTTCTGTGAAGACACCCACATTTTCAGAGTCTTAGCTCTCAACTCCTGCAGCTCTTCAAAAAATAGGAGCAAGTTTGAGAGCCATAGACATGTTGTGTGTGTGTGTGGGGGTGGAATAGCAGGAAATTGGAGAAATTAGAAGTCACAGGACCTGAAGGAATCATACGTTATTATTATTAGTACAAGTAATAATTATTATGTACTTATATTAATAATAATAAGCATTATTATTACTAATATCAGTGGAGAGGGCTTGAGAATCAGGAAGTGTCTTAATTTACATAATAGAGAGCTTCAGAAGTTAAGAACAGCTAAACAGTCATGACAGCCACCCTCTGACTTGCATCATCATCATTGTAGGCTTCCTTTTGCCTTTAGAATAAGATCTTTAAATAAATTCAGAGGTCAGGAGATATCCACAACATAAAGGTTAAAGGTTATTAGCTTCTAAATGTGGCTGAAGTGGATGAAATATAAGCCTGCCTTCCTCTAGAGAAGACGTCCATAGTTATAAATTAGCACCCCCAGTCTGCTCACCTGACACTGTTCATCATGTTGAGAGAGCAGATTATTCCCAAGGCAACTTCAGCTAGAAATTTGTAAGCAAAGACCTTGTGACACATTGTGTCCCCTGAATAAATTATTTTCATTTATTAGTCGTTTGTGTTCTTACTAGTGTTCTCTCCAAGGCCGAGTAGGGGAGAGAGCAAGCTCTTCGTGGTGGTTGTGCATTTTGAGGATGTTTGCTTTTTCTCTTATCTCCCTAGTCACTAGGGGGCGAGATTGTAATTTTCTTGTTGGTGACAGTAATTTCTGTCACTACCTACTGCTTGGGACTTCCAGTTTTGCAGCTGTCCTGGAAGGAAGGCTTGCTGTATGGATGAAGGTTTGTAAGCCCAGATAGCCAGCTTCTCAGATTGATAGAGAAGAGGGACTTTGCCCAGAGAAGAGGCTTTGAAAGGCATCAAGTTCATTTAAAAAATGTAAAGTAGCTTTTTGGTGTGCTTAAAAATAAAAGGTTTGAGGTTTTTGGCTATAGAAGTAATATGTTCTCAGTAAATGCACTTCAGATGTATAGAAGAGGGGAAGGAAGAAACAAGTTACCTTTCACTATCCTTCACCTTGTGACATTCTTTGGCCTAGTGGTAGTGGTGTTTAATCATTATTTAAAAATCTCAACTTTTCAATCAACTAATAAATTTTGTAATTCTGAAGAATTAGGTTAACCTGATTTTTGTATAGTGGGTGTACTGGGGCTTTCTTTTATAGACCAGTTCCTGCCTGGGACTTCTGCTGGTGCCTCCTTTCCTTGGGTCACGTGTTGAAATGGGGCTGAGAACAATGGAGTGAGTGTTGACAGTAACAGAATGTTAACATTTCACAAAAATTATTAAAACAATAATACTGAGGTCCAAGGCCATTTCATACTCATGCTGCTGTGGGAGGCATTGGGTACTTGTTTTTGTACAGTTTTTGAGGCAGGTTGAAAATGCGTCTTTCAGACTGGTCACAGCAAGCAGTATCACTCTGTCTTCTGGCCAGCAGGCATTAAAATCATCATTAATGACTTTCCAGTGTTTTCTTCCCTGCCAGGCTTGGGCTAGATACAGGAAATTCAGAGATAGTCTGGATAGTCTAATGGGGAAGAAGATTCATACTTGATGAGTGTTTGTGTTCTCTGTATGTTCTCATTAAAGTTTTACAGTACAGTGATCAGTGCTGTGAGAGGGAAGCAAGAGTTCCAGAGAGGCTGGGAAAGGCCAGAGGGCCTGGGGATTTGGATTTTTTTCTTAAGGATAATGCAGAGTCACTGCAGGGTTTTGAGCAGGGAAAAGAGATGGATCACATGTGAAATAGAAAGATGGCCCAAGTGTGGAAGATGGAAGGAGAAAGGCTGGAGGCAAGGGAGACCTGTTAGGAAGTTGGTAATAAGGTTCAGATGAGAAATGGTTGGTTGGACTTGAGCTGAGGCAGTGTCAGGCATGGAGTAGAGGAGGGGGACAAGGGAGACAGAAACAGCTAAATGAGCAAAATTTAGCCTTGTGGGGGTGGGGAGAGGGTGGAGTCAAGAATAGGGGGAAAAAAAGAAACCGTTTCTACTTTGGGCAACTGGATGGACAATGGGAGCCATTCACATTGATTTAGAGCCTGTAGGATGGGAATGGGGACAAGAAATTTATTTGAGCTGTTTGGTGACAACAATTTTTTTTTTTTTTAATTTATAAATAACTTGCATTTTGGTTTGTTAAAATCATGTGAAATTAGATTGTTAAATGTTGAAAGTTTTGTTACCTTTTTATTTACCACAATAAAAATAATTTTTAAAAACAATTTATGAAATTGCCTGAAAGATTTTGTGAAAGGCCAAGTGGCAGAGAGAAAAATGCCTATGGACTTTGGATCCAGTGGTTGTCAGCAGTTCTGGATGGGTCAAAAGACAGACTAAGCATGTGTGTTTAGGGCACCTAGCCAGGAGTGAAAAAATAAATATAAGTGGGAAAAAAAATAGTAATTTAAAAAACATTAAGTATTCACTTTGGAAAAAAACAAAACAAACCCTGAAACATCTTTGACCTCTTAACAATTGTTTTACAGTTGAGATCTCTCTTATTTTGGATTTTCCATTAGGGCAGAGAGGCACCAGATTCTTGATTCTTACTTAGGTCCAGAGATCTTAACTTGGGTTCCAATCTGGATTTTGCCTTTTTTTTTTTTTTTTCTGGTAAATATACAGGTAACAAAACATTTGCCATTTCAACAGTCTTCACAAATACAGTTCAGTGATACTGTGTTTATCATGTTGTTCAACTATCACTATTAACTTCTCAGATTTTTCTATCACTCTTAACAGAAGTTCATTGTTCCCCAAGTTTTGTGTCTGTCTTTTCACCCTTTCCCATCTGCCCCTGATAACCACTAATAAACTTGGATCTCTATATACTTGCCCATTCTAGATATTTCATATAAGTGGGATCATATATATATATTGTGTATATGTGTGTGAGTGACTTATTTCACTCAGCATAAATTTTTTGAGGTTCATCCATGCTAGATTTGGCCTTCTGTTGGCTGTGTGATCTTGGACAAGTACCTAACCTTCTGGGCCTTGTTTATGTCACCTCTCAGTTGGGGTAGTGCCTTCAAATAGGGTCATTAGGAGGATTAAAGATTAGCTCTTAATCATAATAAATGTTTGTAAAAAGATTTTACAATTAGATAATTGTTTGCTTTCCAAGAATCATTGTTAGCTTATGAGGGAGTCTCGCTTTTAAGAGGCTGCCTTTGCTGCCATTCTTTTAATATCCAGAAAGCTGGTGAGAAGGCTTGCTAGGGGTATTGACATCACAAAACAGCTGCAGAAGACAGGTCTGGTGAGGAACGCAGGGTCTCCTGCCTCCTACCTCCTCCCTTCACGGTTGCCCCAGTGGAAAGAAGTTGCTGAAAAGACTTGCACCTGCTGGGGGCCCAGAGCAGAAAATATTCCCAGTTGGTGCCCCTCCCTGGTCTTGAGAAATGGTGATTGAATTACAGCATATTTATTACACCTCCCACTGTTTGAAGGGGAAAGGCCAAAATTCTTTGCTCAACATACAAGTCTCCCCACCCCCATGATATGGTCTGTATCTTCATTTTTAGCCCTGTTTCATCACTCCTTGTTCACACTTTCGGCTTCTGCAGCACAGGATAACTTGTAGCTTGGCACCTCCACCAAAAGGGAAGCAAAACAAAAACAGTAACAGCAAAAACCCAGGCTTTTTCTCACTGCCATCCATTTGCTCAGAGTTCCTCTGTCTGGAATGCCCTTTCACCTTCATTTTTTGAGTCTGGGAAATCTCTTCATACTACAGGCTGGGGTAGAGACTTTCTCTGTGCCCACTCACACCCCAGGTGGCCATCCATCACAACACTGATTACACTCTGTTACCTGTTCTTATTGTCTCAACTCTGCTTAAGACAGTTCCAGAAGAGCAAGTGCTTGGTCAACTTCGTCTCTCAGTGCCCAAAGTAAGACTGGACACATACTAAGCCATCAGGAGCTGCTTGCTGAGGTGAACAGCAAGAGTGGCACCTTAGCAGCCGCCTAACCATGCCAAAACACATCAGACCAAGACTCCCCTTCACATCCAAGAACTTTTGTGAGCCACAGGTTGTACTGTTTTTGAACTTGTCAAGAAAAGCTCCTTATCTAAGCTAGTATGGCTGAAGCACCTAGTTGATCAGTGCTCTTCCTTGGGATTTGTTCAGGAACTTTTATTTTTTTAAAAAAGAAAAGATATTTTAAATAATGAAAAAGGACCTAGCACAGCACTGCCCTGGCAACCTAAAGTACTTGCTCAAAAACTACGAGTGCTAATAAACCAATATTCATTAATATCCTCATGGTGAAAGATCACAAGTCCAACTATGCCACAGTTGTCTTGGGATACTGAGAATTAGAGGTCTTCCTTCATCATGCTGTTGTTAGGTGCCGTCGAGTCGACTCTGATTCATAGCGACCCTATGTACAACAGAACGAAACACTTCCTGGTCGTGTACCATCCTCCCAATCCTTGCTATACCTCAGCCCATTATTGCAGCCACTGTGTCAGTCCATCTTGTTGAGGGTCTTCTCATCTTTCGCTGACCCTCCGCTTTACCTAGCTTTACCTTCTCCAGGGAATGGTCCCTTCTGAAAACATGATCAAAGTAGGTGAGATGAAGTCTGGCCATTCTCGCTTCCAAGGAGCATTCCGGCTGTACATCTTTCTTTTTTTGATTTTTGGCAGTCCATGGTATTTTGAGTATTCTTCAC